ATGAAATCACCCAAGTTGTACCAAGTAATTATGAACACTTGGTGAAACCTGATCAAGTGATCAAACACACAGTCAAACTCCAATAGTAACTGGAGAAAGTTCAGTGTGATAGGAGCGATTCCTAACAGTGGCGCTCTTCAGGAGAGAAGGGACCTGGCATTGCCATGAACAGGCTTGGCAGTTGCAAGATCTCTGGGAGGGTTGGCACACACATAAGGGGAGCCAAAACCGCGTTTCTTGAGAGTGAACGCACAGTCGTTGAGGATAATAAATGCACTGATTGACGAGCTCATTGAGGTTGTCTATCCGAGCCCCATGTTTGAGGTGGGCAAGGATGCTCAGCTTGAGACTGCACTGAATCATACCTTTGGGTGTACTCGTTGTAATCCATGTATGAAATGAAACACTGGAACTTGGTGGCATAAGCTTGGCAAAAAGCGGTTTGGGAAAGGGCGTGGATCTTGTTGTTCGCAGCTTCTTCAGTGAGAACGTCATCCAGGCCAAACAAGGTCCACATACAACCCATGGACCATGTTGTCGAACCATTCAAAAGCAAACTTGTCCAAGCGAAAAGAGGGAAAGACAATCTTCTCATTATCCAAAAAGATGTTGATGGAGATGAGAAAGCCCTTGGTGGCCTCGCCATTGAGACCGGAGAACTTGTCGATCTTTCTGAGGGACAGAGTTGTGAGGGGGGCCAAAAAGCTATCCAATTTTCTTGCCAGCCAAGGCAGGGACTTCCAATCAGTGAGTTGCTGAGTTAGCTGATCTTGTCTTGGAGTAGCAGAAGATCCACGGGTTTTTTGCGTACGTTGGCAACATGTGGGAGGATCAAATGAACGAGAAATGTTTTTATGCTTGCTTTGCATGCGTCTGGCAATGCTGCAGCAAGACGACACCATGGATTTTGGTATATTGATTCGCGGTAATAATACGTATCCTGAAAGGATTTGCGAAAATAAATCGTGGGGAAAACGAAGTAAAATTTTAAACTCCCAGCACAAACCGCTCCACATTCCTACACCCCTGTACGCGTCGCAGCCGCAAAAGCACTGCGATGCGTGCACCAGCCGGGATTCGAACCCGAGTCGTCCGCTTGGGAAGCGGACATAATAACCACTATACTACTGGTGCGTGTCTATTTTGGGATGCTCTCGGTATTTGACTTTTATTTCGAGCACTCCAAACCTCGTCCCACGGGCTCCTCACGCGTTCAACACTCGTAAATAATCTTGCGAGGATCGAATGTGGCCGTAATTTCACAAGGTCAAGTTGCTACGAGACCTTTCATTTTTTTCCTCATATTTGTACACAAAAAAATATAAAAGATCACAGTGCCCTTTTGGATTTCCCAATAATTTATACATATCAATGTGTGTGCAAACTTTCGGGAGGGTCGGTTTAGGGACTCTGCCTACTTTTCCTCCTAGGCTGTTGAAAAAAGGTGAAGTGGACTTATCTGAAGTTCGAGCATTTGTGCTGCGTTTGGCAAGAGGCAATTTGAGGACTTGAAGGAGAGGGAAATAGCGGCGAAGAGGCCTTTGATGTGTAGGAGGAGAAGGTGGCTGAGGCTGACGCGGTAAAGCGGGCAGATGAGGAGGATGATGCCCTCGAGAAGGGCAAGAGTGATGATGGAGATAGAGGATTTTGAGAGCGAGCAGGATTGCTTCCCCTCAATGCTGGTAGTCCATATATGAACACATACTATTCTTTTCTATTCTTACGTTTCCCCCAAAATTTCGCTTCACATCTCATCCCCATGAGAGTATCCCCACCTCGAAAAGCGTGCAATCTTGAACAAAAAAGTGTCCCTCTTGAATCTTTGTCTGGAGACTGTCGACTGAATGTGTGGGACTTGACTCTTGAGCCACATTGATCATTGCGAAATTCGTAGGAGGTAGGCCTTCCAGTTGTTGTTGGTGCAAAACAGGGAAGCTTTGCTCTCTTACGAAGGCTTAATTTGTGGCCTCGGCTGTACTCAGGTGAGTAACAGAATGAAATTTTCCAAAAAGGCGACCGTGGCCAAGAGCGCGGCCAAACAGCTGTTACTCGTTTCGCAGCGTGACTTCTTTGAAAAAACCCATTCTGCAGCGCCTGGCGAACCTCAAACTCCTCCATCTCAAAGACTATTTGTCATCCGAGTGTGAAGCCGAAGCGAGTGCGGAACACGATCCCTCTTTTCTTCTCCCTCTCTATATTACATTAAAAAACATCACGAAAAAGAGAGAAAAGGTAAAACCCGCGAGGCCCCACGTGCGCGTTGTGTGGCTCATGGTGCCACGCGGCACGCCCGAAGATTCCGAAAATTTCAAAATCGGCCACCAAAAATGTTTTCCAAATTCGTTGCGCGCTCTGCCACCACCGCCGCCGCCCGCGTCGGAGTTTCCGTGTCCAAGAAGGTTTGCAGCGCTTTTGTTGGTGGGTTGTTCGCGCTGACTCGTTGCCGCGCAGCACTTTTCGGGTTCCGCGACCTCCCGCTTCAACCTCGGCCTGACGCCCGAACAGCTCGAACTGCAGGAGCTCGCGCGCTCCTTCACGGCAAAGGAAATCACGCCCGTGGCTGCCCAGTACGACAGGACCGGAGAATATCCCGTCGATGTCTTGAAGAAGGTGGGTGACCCATGTGTTTTTTGACAGCTATCAGTGTTTATCCGAGGACTCGGCGGGCTATCGTAGACCCACTATCATCATGTTCTAAACTCGTGATTTAATTTGGCAGGCTTGGGAGGTCGGTCTTTTGAACACCCACGTTCCGGAAGCTTACGGAGGTCTCGGGCTCGGAGTCATGGACTGCTCAATCATCTCGGAGGAAATGGCTTACGGATGCTCTGGAATCCAAACCGCTGGTGAAGCAAACGGTCTCGCTGTAAGCATTTGTTCTTGTCCTCCGCAAACACGCGTTTGACATGCGTTTCGCTCCCGCAATAACAGGAAGCTCCCGTCATTCTCGGTGCCAGCGATGCCTTGAAGAAGAAGTACCTGGGACGTATGACCGAAGAGCCTTTGATGTGCGCCTACTGCGTCACTGAGCCGATTGCTGGATCGGATGTTGCCGGAATCGCGACCAAGGCCGTCAAGAAGGGCAACTCGTGGAGCATCACCGGAAACAAGATGTGGATCACCAACGGTGGAAAGGCCAACTGGTACTTTGTTCTCGCCAAGACGGACCCCAATGCCAACGCCGGTTTGTTCCCTCATTGTTTGCCGAGATTTCTACACAATAATAATTTCAAACTACAGGCAAGGCCTTCACTGGATTCATTGTCGACGGAAACTCTCCGGGTATTACTGTTGGAAAAAAGGAGATCAACATGGGCCAGAGGTGCTCCGACACGCGCGGAATCAGCTTCGAAGACGTCGAAGTCTCGGACGAGAACCGCATCGGAGAAGTTGGAAAGGGATTCCAGCTCGCAATGGGGGCTTTCGACATTACCCGACCCCTTGTCGCCAGTGCTGCCGTTGGAGTCGCCAGAAGGTGTGATCATTCTGTTTTTTGTCGGTTGAGTGCGTACTCATTTCTTATTTTCTCTTCTAGAGCGTACGAAGAGGCTTTGAAATACTCGATCGAGCGCAAGACCATGGGCAAACCAATCGCCGAACACCAGGCGATCGCGTTCATGTTGGCTGATATGGGTACGTTTCTATTTGTTTGGTTATTTATTTCCAGAATCCTGACCAATTCTTGTTCTCAGCTATCGGAGTCGAAGCCGCCCGTGGACTCGTCTACAAGTCCGCGTGGATGAGAGACAATGGAGAGCGGAACACTTTGTACGCGTCCATGGCCAAAGCAATGGCGTCCGAAGTGGCCAACAAGAACGCTGCCGATGCCGTCCAGATCTTTGGTGGAAACGGATTCAACAGCGAATACCCGGTCGAGAAGCTCATGCGTGATGCCAAGATCTTTATGATTTACGAGGGAACCTCGCAGATTCAGAGATTGATCATTTCGCGCACGCTTATTGACGCTGCCAAGAAGGGAATGTAATCGTTTCCTTTTCAAGGGAATAAATTATGTTTTTTGCTGTCCTTTTTTCTTCATCTCGCTTTCCATTTGGCTTTGAGAAATGCCTTGGAAGGATCCACCCCCTTCACTTATTAGGGCGCACCCCGGCATCACCCCCCAGTATACGCGAGATTTGTGAGCTTGACCGCGTCGCGGACCGCGGTGTCATCCGATTTCGGGAGCCTACACCACGCGAAGGTATGCGCGAATTCTCACGCTCAACTGATATTCTAAACTCAGTTTAAAACGTCGGTCGCAAGCTGGTGGTGCCAGATAAATACAAAAAAACGAGAAAGCGGGGTATGTAGTTCCCGGAGCGTTCATATCAACTATATATTAAGAACCATTTTCACTCAATTATTGCTTCACAGCCGCGTCGTAATCTTCGATAACAAGCGGTATCCCATCAAAGTCATTTTTGGTCACCGCCTTCTCCATCGTGACTTCCTCAAACGCCTCCACAATCTTGATCTCCTTGAACCCCAGCTTTTGCGTAAACAAGGACCGCGAGGCAAGGTTCTTGAGCCCAATCTTGGCCACAAACGTATGAATCGACGGAATCTTTTGCACCGAATAGTTCATGATCAACCGCAGCGCTTCTTCCCCAGCACCCTTACGTCTCATCCCGGGTTCTGTAATCGAATCGAAACGCTTAAACTCATCCAGAGAGATGAAAAACATTCATATCCCCTCACCTGCAATCATGCATTCAATCTCCGGCATGCCCATCGCATCTTCGAAATCGTTAAAGTACAGATTCACATCCCCCACCATCCCACCCAACCGCTCCGCCTCCAACTCAGGTGAATCATTCGCCTTGCCATCCATCTGCGTACTCAGGATAATGAACGTGAGCTTTGTTTCGTCGCGTGCCCAGGAGAGCTGCATTTCGTGTTCTTCGGCGAGGGAGAGGGGCTCGGAGGCGGTCATTTCGAGGAGGAAAGGGTCGAGCATCCATTTGTGGTAGGTGGGGACGTGGTGGGGGAGGTAGGGGACGAGAGTTACGGTGGAACCTCGAATGATGTGATTCGAGTTGACACGCATTTTTTGGAAAGAAAAAAAGGTGATGAGCCAAGACGCGGGAAAGAAAGAAAATTTAGAGAAAAGAGTTATTTATTGGTGAAAAGAAGAGAGATGTTACAAACAAATAAGAAAAGAGAGAAAAGAAATTAGACTCTGGCGTCAAAACGATCCGCGTTCATCACCTTCACCCACGCGGACACAAAGTCGCGC